AAGGAACGATTGGCCATCGGTGATCGGTCCTGTGGGAACAATGCTCCGTCCTCTCGAGGACGCGTGGTCAATGGTCTAACCGCTAAGACATGCAAAACATAAGAGTACGCCCCCCCCCCCCCCCCCCCCCCCCCCCCCCCCCCCCCCCCCCCCCCCCCCCCCCCCCACCCCACACAGGGCGACGACGAAGGTGATGAAGAAGAAGAGGTCAACGACGAAAACAACCGAAGACTCTCCAACGGCAGCGTTGCCACGTCGAACACTTCTCCCGCTGGCCGCGGCGTCGGCACCATCGGCAACAGCAGCGTTAGCCCGTCGCCGCCAGCGCCGAAGCCTCCCGCGCATCAGGAGCGCTTGTCCCCATCGAGCCCCCCTCAGATAGATCGTGTCTCGCGGATAGGGGATTCCAGTACGCTTGGCGGCGGAGGTGAGGGGTCTGGTGGTGATTCGCCGGCGCCCCCGTGGGCACCGCCCGGCCCCGACATCGGGGGAAGCGAAGACTTGGTGCTGTCTGTGCCGGGAGCAGGAGCTTTGTCGCCGGCCATGAGCACGCTGTCCTCGAGGGGTTCGACAGAGATGGAGCGGGACGAAGATAGAGGCGCAGGCAGGGACTCGGACAACGGTAGCATCCTCGACAGCAGCAGCAGCTGCGGCGGCGGCGGCAGCATTGACCGAGGGCGCAAGCAATCCTCCGCCACTGCCACTTCGTCGTGCGCGAGCACCGTTCCCGAAGGCGGCGGCGCGGACGGCGGCGGCGGCGGCAGCAGCGGGGCTGCCGATTCTCCGCTCGCAAGCCCCGGCCCGGGGAAGCTCTCGGTTCTGTTCCGGCGGGCTTCTCGGCTCCCGCCCGATACCGAGCGGAACTCCGGCAGCAGCGAAGGCGGCGGCGACGGTATTTCCTCGAACGGGGACGACCGAACAGCCGGTGCCGCCGCCGAGGAGGCCGCCGCTGGCGGCGGAAACGTTGGTGGTGATGGCACGAACAGTGAGGGCGCCGGCTTGGTCCGCGGCGGCCGTGGCGCACGGCCTGCCAGCCGCGGGAACCCCGTCGCCAGCCACGAGCAGCGCTCGAAGCAGGCGCGCGGCAGAGACAGAGATAAGGAGAGCTCTCGGCCCGCTGCTGGCCAGCGCGAAGTCGGGAGCGGCAGACCGGGAACGGGCAGCTCGAGTTCGAGAAGCGCGGCGGCGGCGGTCAAGGGGGACGAAAAGCGGAGGGCGGCCATGGACGGGCCGGGGAGGGATAAGGGACTGCAGAAGAAGAGACCGGTGACGAAGACGAGAGAGTTGCACCGCAAGGCCGGTGAGAGAGGGCGCGTTGCCAGCGCCTTTTCGTCACACCCGGTGCTGTGTTGGGGCCAGTGTCCGGCGGGGTCGAGCCGGCTGGCTGGATACCCTTAGCGTGTAACATCGATCGCTCTCTCTCTTTCCGGCCACGGTCGGTGTGCCGGCCCATGCTTGCTCCGTGCGGCAGCGAGAACCTTGATAATAGCGTACGCGCAATGTCTTTTTCCCGTACTGGCTGCTGCTATGCATGCCAACGTTTCGGACGAAGTCAGAGAGGTGTGCGTGCATGTCAGCCGCAGTAAATATATTTCAAAAACAGCTCAACGTTCTCGAGAACAACACGGTTTTCACCTCATTTGCCGAACAGAATCGGACGTCCCTCATGTAACTTGTCGACTTGCAAGCTCATCGACGCCCCTCACCCTGGCGACATCATCGCTACCTCAACACACGCCCTGATTTAACTCCTCGTTTGCTCGTCTGCCCGTCCGTGTGCTCTACCGCGAATGTGAAAGTAGCCGGCACAGCGACGACGACCGCCGCAAGCGCCAGGTCCGCCGCCCACAAGAGCCGCAGCAAGCCCATTACCTCTGCTACCGGCTGCTCGACAACAGCGACGACGCCCCACACACAGAAGTCTGCGACGGCCACAACGCCCTCAGAACAGAAGCCCGCCGTGACTCCACGCAAGCCTCTCACGACGACGCCGCGCAAGCCGCAGCAGCATCCGGTGCAGCACCGGTCCCCCCGGGGGGTGAAGCCCAGCGAGCGCAAGCAGCCGCCATTCAAGGCCGCGGGTGCGCCCAAGGCGAGGCTTCCGCTGAGAACGAACACGGCGACGGCGGCGGCGGCGGCGGGAGCAACGGCGACGCCGGGGAAGTCGAGGTCGAAGGGAACGGCGACGACGGCGGCGGGAGGAAGCGGCGGCGGGAGTGGTGCCGCTTCGGGAGAAGGGAGCCCGAGCCCCAGCAAGCGTGGGCCTCCTAGGTGCAACAAGTCGTCGCTGATGTTTGTAGACTCTTTGATTGTTTTTTTATGATCTCCGTGTCTTTCAGCTCCGAGTTCAAGTCATATTTGGGGGAACATCAAGCCGTAGCAGCCTTTGGTACTTACTCCCTTGTGGCTAGGTTCTGACTGATTCTGACGTTCATCCGATATTCTTTGTATGCCGAGTGTCCAGACCTCCTCGCTCGAGACTGACGACGAGACCAATCGAACTAGGACGAAGTTGATTTCGAATAATCCTCGCCCCTCTCAAAATGCTCCTGCCTCAACCATTTTGTTCCCCACATGTGCGTACAACATGTTGCGAATACCATGTTTCTGTCCGGCCGGCTACGTGTATTGTGCTGGTGGTAGCCCACACCCTCCCCTCATCTCACTGCTGCCCACCTGTATCGTTACCTCTGCCTCTCTATCTCTAGAACGATGCAAATCCGCGAGCAAGCCAAGTTTCTCTTCCAGCAACACCACAACTACTGACTTGTGCGCCACACGCACCGTTCGAAACGCTTCGACCCCCCCAGGGTTTCTGCGTCCGGCCACATGGCTTGGGAACGCAACCTGAGAACGGTGTCCAAGTTCCAGCCGAACAAGAAGGTTACCTCCCTTCAGAGGAAAAAGGAGGCGCTGCACCGGGCTATGCGAACGGGTGGTAAAGGCGGCGGCGGCGGCGGCGGCGGCGGCGGCGGCGGTGGGCGGGGAGGTCGCAGTGGAGGCGGTGGCGGAGGTGACGGCGACGGTGGCAAGGGGGAAGATGGCCGGCCTTCTATTGGGACGTGGGCCACAACGCAGAACTATCTCAAGATCCTGAAGGAGATCAGCGGAAAGGTGATGAGCGGAAGGGATAGATAACGTGGAGAGGGAGAGAGATAAGAAAGTCAGAGAGCGATAGAGACGCATAGGGAGTGAGACAGAGTCAGAGAGGTATGCCCTAACTACACGGTTCATGTTTTTGCTTTTTGCACCTCGGGTCACAGCAAAAGGTATTATACTAGGCACGCGCTCGAAGTGGCGTAGAGCTGCGCTACGAACATGATCTATGTACATGTGTCTTTTGTGTGTTCCGTGTTTTGTGTCGTTTGCAATCGTTAATCGCCCCGCTGCTGGCACCGTCTAATTGGAGTGTATTGCACTTTCCCCACCACATATTTGTCCCCGGTTGCTGGCAAACTCTTTCCTTCTTGTGAGAGCGGCGTCTTGTGGTTCCCCCCTCCTCGGAACAGTGCTTCTATTTACACGGAATGGCTGACGCTTTGCCTTGTCTGTATCCCCCCGCTCTACCTCGCAACTCTCTTCGGCAGATTGCCGGCGGAGAATTTCTGTTTCGTTTCGTCGTCTTTCTTCTCGTTCTCCCTCTCCGTGACGCTCTTATCCGCAAGTTGTATCCCCGGTCCCTCCCCTCAACCTCTCTCCTCTCTTTCGTTGAAATTTTGTCGGGCAGGACGAGGAGGAGCTGGAGTGGTTGGTCGTCGCCAAGAAGGGGCAGGGGGTTGAGAAAAGCGAGACGAGGCGCGAGAACGCCGAGACAGAGTACCACCGCTTGCTCTGCGAAGAATCCATGCAGGAGGTAACCGAGCCGCACTGAGACTGGCGTGTTTTCATTGGTCGGCCTGAGAGCGCGGATACTACACGCGCGTTCCTGCTTTTTTCCCCTCCTTTTTAATTTTCTCAGTGGTGTTGCGGGAGGTTGGCAGCCCCGGAAGAGAAGATAGGCCAGCCTGTCGAGCAAGCTTATCGAATACGACCCACCAAGCTGCCGATCGTTCCGAATTATCTGTTATGATTTCTCAAGTCCTGCCGCCTTCCCATGTTGTTTCTTGTTTCGTTATAAAATCATGTTGAACAGGCGGGTCTTAAGCTTCTCAGAGACCGCCGTCTGGAGGTGGCTCTGCGGAATGTCGGGAAGCAGGGGGAAGAGCTAGATCGCCTGACCGAGCTCCTAGAGGAGCTGGGCGGACAGGTGGGGTGGACAAAGCGATTTTTGTTTGTTGCTTGCCGGCTGAACCCTTTCTTGCGAGTTGCCTACAGCAGTGGGGGTTCCCAATGACGGCCGTCGCCTTGTATGATGCGGGTGAAAGTGGCTGACATATACAGAACGATTCAACTTACTCTACACAGTGAATAAGGGGGCTGTCCCATATAAGGCGGTCATTATCAGCTGCCCCGCCACCGACTTATTCGGGGACCCGCACTGTGCCTAGATTCCGCGCTGCTACACCTTCAGCACAATGCCTTCAACTCTGGGTGAGCCTGCCATCGGGGGCTGGCTATTGCCTTCGGTGGAATGTGGCGAGGAATGCCAACCCGGACCGAGCGAACTATCTCAATCGAGCTCGATGGGTGATGTGGACAGCAGTTGGGGCGAGCCGTCGTGGACTCATTTCCCTGCCTCTCATCAACGGTTCGCAGCTGTTGAGAATCAGAAGAGTAACGACCCTTGGGAGAGCAGTATTTAGTGATCTAGGCAGTATCGCACAACTCACACGGATCTATGCTCTTGATGAATGCATGTCTGTGTCTGTGTTTCATGAATATACCCTATCCTGACCTCCACGCCTTTCGTTGAATCACAATCGCGGACGATTACCTGAGAGTGCACGTGTGCGTTACTGCGTTACTGCGTGTCGATATCTCACTCGAAGTAGTACAGCAGCCGTGGGTGTTGCCTCCCACCCGCTGCCCCGCCGCCGCCGTTTCCGCAAAGAAAAGACGGGGGGTATCATGGGCCATCGCGTTTCTCACTCATCCCTTAGAAGTGCAATTGAGATCAGCGATACCAGAGGATGGGGAAAGAGAGGTATAGACAAGGAAAGGATACCACGGGTGCGAGTGTGGAGAGGGGGTGCGTATAACATCACTGTCTGGTTGCTGGCGCTTGAACAAAGGTGGTGTTCGCACACCCGTCAGACTTGTGTTGTCTTCACTCCCGTGGCATCTATTGCTATCTCACACACGCACACACACGTACCCACGCATCAGGAAATGTCCCTCGTCGCGAAGGGCGCCGACGCGGAGCAACAGGAGTCGGCGCAATTAGAATCGGCGGCAGCCGTGGCAGCGGAGGCGGCAACGGTAGCCGCGGAGGCAGCAGAAGCAGCAGCAGAAGCGGCAGCAGACGCAAACGCGTCCCCGGAAGCGGTCGACACCGAGCAGATGATGGAGCGCGCAGCTGTGGCCGCAGAAGCGGCGGCGCAGGCAGCGGAGAAGGAGGCGGTAGCGACGGCAGCCGCGGAGGCTGCGGCGGCGGCGGCGGCGGCGGCGAGAGCCTCGCGGGAGGCGGAGAGGGAGCGTCTCGAGCGGGCCAGGGACGAGGCGGAGGAGAAGCTGGGGAGGGTGCTGGGCGACATCGGGGCCGGGAAGGAGAAGCTCAGGGCGCTGGGGGGCACCATGAAGGAGGAATGCAGGGGGGTGCCCGGCGGGGGCGGTAGCGCACTCGAGACGGTCGAGGGTAAGTTGTTGTTGCTGTTGTTGTTGTTGTTGTTGCTGTTGTCGCTATCCTCGTTGTTGGATGGTGTTGTCATGCGGGGTTCTATGGTTGGCCGCGAACAAACAAGAAGTCGCCCGCATAACAGGTGGCAAAGGTAGTTGGTTTCGTCGCCCTTTCTCTGGACGACGACGATTCTATTTTTCCCTTTTTTTCTCGGCGTGCCGCGGGACCGCAGGCATCACGGCGGACGTGTGCTCGGCAAGGGAGCTCATCGCGCCTACACGGGCCAAGAGTGGCCTGAGCGGCATCGAGGATGCCGCCAAGACTCTCGCCGAGGAGCTCCGCAAGACGCGGTGGGTGGTTAGATGGAGGGGGGGGGGGGGTCGGAAGGCAGGTCTCTGCGGACCATGCCTTGATTCATCTCTTTGCTACGTGGCGCTACATAGTGTAGATAGCAACCGAATGAAACAGAAGCCGGCTGGAGTTCACCATGGAATAGACCATGGCGGAACGGAACATGGAATGGAAAACGTCCGTCTGTCGTTTTTTTTACGGTCGCTTGCCCATGGTCATGTATTGGTTCGCGTTTTGTTTGTTGTGTCGTGCCTCGCGAGTCAGGAGCGGGTCCCAGGCTGCTCTGGCTCGGATGGAAAAGTGGAGGGAACGTAAAGAGGCCCTCCCGGAGTACGCCAAGGTAATGTACGGTTACAAGACTCGCGTTCCTGGGGGGGGGGAGGTCTTCGGTTCCATCTTTAGCAGACTACAACCGCAGAGGAATTGTTCTGTTTGATCCCGAATCGGACCTCTTCAGTCGTGGGGGGGAGGAGCTTGCGAGCGACGTTTCTTGCTGCATGGGATTACGAACAAGGAGGCATAATATGGTGCCGGCGGTGGGATTGTCGCTTGGCGGGGTGGTCTCGGAGGCGATTATGATTACTTTTTGCTCTTGATGCCCCTGTTTCCGCGGCTGTGGAGATGCTGTGCCCGTCAGTGTGGCTGATCGCCTGGACGGGGAACCTCTGCACTCGCTTAAACGCGGCGTTTTGGTCACGTTGTTTCGCTTTTGGCCTAGTGATTCACGGATTTGATTAAAGTTACGCCGATGGTGTTCGATTCTCCCCCTACCCACCAACCGTCGCTCGAAGTACGCACATAACTGGCACCGAAAGATACGCGTGCCGGTTCAACGCTACGGTCTTGCTGTGCTTGGGAGGTAGACACCGGCATAGACATGTCCCCAAGTTTCCAGCCTACTGCCTAGGACACCCTACTACGCTGCCACACTCAACCCTGGCGCTAACCCCCAGCCGGTGGTGTGTGCTTCGTCGGTCTGCCTTGGGACTGTCCTAGGTCGCCGTGGCCACTGCACCGCTTACGGGCACGTTGTTCTTTCGGTGCCACTTCGGACGTATTTTCGGGCGCGCCCCACCACCGCCGACCAGCTGTAGTGTAGTGTGCAATCTCTGGAGTCTTCCACAAGCACTACCATTTTTCTTCTTCCTTCCATTTTGTTGGTGGACACCTTGTCTGAGGACCGCCTTGGCGAGAAATGAAGTTTTTGAGGAAAAATGNGGGGGGGGGGGGGGGGGGGGGGGGGGGGGGGGGGGGGGGGGGGGGGGGGGGGGGGGGGGGGGGGGGGGGGGGGGGGGGGGGTACGCAGACCCTATTCCTTAACCCCAACCCCAACCCAACTTCCCCCATTGAATGTTTTATCCGGCATGTTTACTTAATCGAACACGCCTGCGAAAATGGCTCGTGTTTTCTGATTCGATGTGCTCTTCGAAACCTCGGAATGAACGAACACAGGAAGTCGCCGATCAGGAAAAGGCGTGGTTCGAACGAGAGAGGGAGGCCAACGAAATGGCCCTGCAGCGCACCCGCAAGCTCATTCCCGTGGGCGTGACGCGCCTCACGGTGGCAGAGCTGGAGCAGCACGCGCTCGACGCCGGGTCGCTGTACCCCCGAGAGCTGGCCCTGCGGATCAAGGTGCCGAAATTTCGGTGATGGTGGTGGTGTTGTTGTTGTCGCACGGTGGTGTTATTGTTGTTGTTGTTGTTGGTGGTGTTGTTTGATGCTGTTGTTGCCGTCGTTGTTGTCATCGCTGTGGCTCGCATTCCTCGATCGCAATTGGGATGACAAACCCCCAAGCAAACGAAAGCTCAACCCATCACCTGACACTCTTCCCCCACCCGCACGCATGTAGTACGTGCTTGTGTTTCTCTTGCTGCGCCGGTCGTCATCATCAACTTCATCGGTGACCCTTACCCTTGTCCTCGATCCCTCCCTGCCATAGGAAAACCGCCTACTTCACTGGGTCGTGACCCACCCGGACGACATCGCGCGGTCCAACTTCCTGCGGGGCGACCACGCGCACTTCTTCACCAACCTGGAGAAGGTAACGCATCTAAGAAGATGTCTACTTGTATGCTGTGAAGAAAATAGTCTCCAGATAGAGGAACACCAGCTGTCTGTTTGCTTTTTCCATTGTGAAATCTAGAAGTGCGCACTCGTTTTGTGGATGTAGTTGGCCGGTGTCCACGGAGGGCACCCGAGTCAGTTGGGCCAGTGCAGATATTGGAAGGTTCTGAGTAGAGACGGGAACTAGTTTTTTGGACAAAAACAACAACGGTTTTCCGTTCGTTTGGACGAATGTGTAGGGATTTTTGTGCTTATGTAAAATTACCGTTACAGTGGGGCCCCCGGTTTAGCTACCCCTAGTGTCACGACGAAATATGGTCGCTATTCAGGGCATGTCGCTAAAACCGGTTTAGCGACCATTGTTCGCTAAACCGGGACCCTCAATAGCAACTAGAGGTCGCTAAACCGGGACCCTCAATAGCAACTAGCGGTCGCTAAACCGGGACATGGAGCCATTTCGTTGGACTACAGTAAAGAGGCCTTGTTGCAGAAACATTCTTGATCGGGTTATGTATGCGTCGTATTGCAGCAGTCACATGAAGGTAGAGGAAAGAAGAAGCACCTTAGGGTGGACAACCGGGGAGTAGTTCCTCTATGGTATTCATTCTAGTCATCCAGCAAGCTTGTTGTGCCCTCCGAAGTTTGTAGGAAATGCCTCGACAAGTGTACAGAGGGTGCCCTTTGCCTTTTATGTTCGCGCATGCAGAATAATCTGTCCCTACACGTACATTGATCAACACACACAAACATGGAAGTCCGATGTGCGAAATTCGAAAAAACACAGGCGGAAGAGGGGAAAACGTTATGGCAACGTCCCCCAAAAGACAATAATGAAACACCCCTGCATGGCACGGAGAGAGTTCGTGAACGCCCAAGTGGCAAAGAACCTCGCGCTGCTTGTGACTTCATTCTGCTTCTGTCGCGTGTTACCGATCATGTTTCATCTCAACATGTCTCTGATGTCCATCTGTCGCGCTGGTTTCGCGGAATGTACTTCGATGAACAGCATCTTTGCCTTGCCAAGATGGTACGCTGCCTCGCTTAGTCCACGACCTCACACTCTTGNGCACGGAGAGAGTTCGTGAACGCCCAAGTGGCAAAGAACCTCGCGCTGCTTGTGACTTCATTCTGCTTCTGTCGCGTGTTACCGATCATGTTTCATCTCAACATGTCTCTGATGTCCATCTGTCGCGCTGGTTTCGCGGAATGTACTTCGATGAACAGCATCTTTGCCTTGCCAAGATGGTACGCTGCCTCGCTTAGTCCACGACCTCACACTCTTGAAGCGATCCAAAATGCGACGAAAACTCCGAGTAGGGCGGCGGCGCCATCACCTCCCCACCCCCCGCACCGACAACTTCTCCAGCCCCATCTACTTACCTCTATTTCTCTTTCTCGTTTAGTGGATTCGAGACGGGTGGGGAAGCCTGCGTGTTCTTGGACGCACTCTAGTGGCAGGACACATCACGTGCAGGCGTCCACCGCAGCCACCATGGCAAGCATGCCCCTGGGGTGCCCGCAGTTCCACATCCGGCGGTTTGCGCAACTCTCCATCGGCGCACGGCATGTTGCGTGTGTGTGCGTGTCCCGCCGTCTTGTGTCTTTGTGTGTGGAGGAACGCGGGGTCTCCGCAAAATTTGAAGAGACGGTCGCTATTGCCCGCTGAAAACAGCCCAATAAGTCGCAATTGAGGGTTCGATCGGTTCAGCGACCATGGTCGCTAAACCGGGGTGCAGCGGTGTCACGAGATTTTGGGTTCGCTACAACAAACAGGGCATATCGCTAAACAGGGGGTCGCTTAACCGGGGGCCCCACTGTAAATGTATCCATGACCTGGTTTCAGGTGCAACGTACAATTAGCGCGCACTAGTTCCGTATGGGGCTGGCGGAATAGCCACCAATCACTGCCAATCATTTATGTCGTCCATGCCTCTCCTCTACCTCCCTTGTTTCAGTCGCTCTTCCTCTTCATTCTCCCTCCAAACCTCGCGTTTGTCTACCTTTATTTGTGGCCCCTTCTTTTTCGGTCGTCGCCGGTTGCATGCGTGTGGTTATCTTCTTCCGCTCGTTCTCCTCCTTGTCCTTGTCGTCTTCATCGTCCTTTTGTCTAATATATACCATGGTGTATATTTTGGCAGTATGATCTGGTGGAGCTGAGAGCAATCATGGCTTGCCTTCCGGCCAAGTTCGAGGTGGACGCGGACGGCCGCAAGGCTACCTGGAGAGAGCTCTTCCTGCAGCGAGCGCAGAGCCTCGTGGCACAGGTTAGTTCGGTGTCGTTGTTGGTGCTACATCTGTTGCTCTTGTTGCCGTCTGCTACTGCTTCTTAGGTTACAGTAGCTGCTGTTGCTATTGCTTCTGCTGCTTTTGCTACTGCTGCTGCCACCGCAACTCTGGCACCTGGCCTCCGTGTTGATGTTGCTAGCGCTATCACCTCAACTTTAACAACTGGCCTCCATTGTTATCGTTGTTGTTGCTATCGCTATTTTCTATGGTGATGAATTACAGGAGAGGGGTGACACCGTCCGCGGCGGGTGGGACCCCGAAATCGGCGCCCGGCGGGAGGTTCGGCTGCCGGAGCTGACCCCCGAGCAGACGCGAAGGAAGGAGTACTTCTATCCGACGGCGGCGGAAGTGGAGGACAAGGTCCAAAAGCTGCAGGAACGACAGCGGCGGCTGGAGGACAAGCAAGCGAAGCTGGCACACGTGAGATGATGATGCCTCAAGGATTGATGATGAAAAACCAGAAACAAGATTTTTGTTTCGCGGCATATTCCACGTCCGTCCCCGTGTTGCAATCGACTTTGTTTGTGTTGTTGGTTTGTGTTGGTGTCTGGCACGCGTAGGTTCCTTTTGTTTCATCAACTGCTGTCGTCCTTGCCTTTTTGTCTTCATGTATATGCCTCGTGATATTCGTTGTTCTCCAAATGGGGTTGCCTTTTCAGCGGTGCACAGAGAGCATTACATCTAGGTGCTGATCCACCAACAGCTTCGTGTCCTTTGTGTTTCTCCTCCTGTGCGGTGTAAGGCACAAGTGTCGTTCGTGTCGATTGGTCCTGCCCACGGTCCCTTTGGTTCCAGCACCCGTTGTCATGGTCTTGATAACTCGACATGGACCACCACGCCACCCGCCTTCCTCTCCTGGTTGTCACCAGCCAGGTCAACGATAGAAGCTGCCATCTACCTGTCGCCACACAGCTTTTACCGCCACGTTCCTCGTGTTTTTGTGTTTTTTTCGCGTGTAGGTGAAGGACGAGCTGCTTCCCGAGGCGAAAGAGGAGTACGCCAACGTGTTGGAAGACACCCGGCACCCGGCCAACAAGGAGGCGTTTAGGCCGGAGGACTTGAGGAGGGCGAGAGACGAGGCAAAGTCGGAGGTCGACAGGTACATACTTACATACATCGCTGAAATAACCGAGAGCTTTTACTTAAGGTCGGCGTGTTACCTTCGTTTTTTGGTGTGTGTTTTTTTTCGTTGCTGGCTTGGTGTCGTTCAAACCTCCCGGAGCTACCATTGATTGAGATGGACGATAAAATTCCCTCAGACAGCGAATTTTCATCAATAACAAAGCCGTTTTCCAGCAGAGCAGACATAAGGAGACCTATCGACCGATGCGTGCAATATTTGTCAAGAAGGGGAGGAAGATCCCGATTCAAGCAACAATTTCAAAACGTCGCCTGTTATTTCTCAGGCACACGAACATGCTATGCACCCCCCTCCTCTTCCCTAACCATGCTGTTGCCAACAATTCTGCTCTCGTTCTCTCTCTCTCTCTCTCTCTCTCTCTCTCTCTCTCTCTCTTTCTCTCTCTCTCTCTCGCTCGCTCGCTC